TAATCACTGCGGAATCTGCCAAGCATCTCAATGTTGATTTATTCTGTCTTCCTCTTCTTCTTCATCGTCTTCTTTCTCTTGCATTGTGTTTACTCAATGTTCGGCGCGTGCATCATACACGGTAGATTCGGCTTCTTCATCTTCTCCCTCCTGCGTTGTGTTGCAAAGGAATACTCATCTCAATGTTGATTTATTCTGTCTTCCTCTTCTTCTTCATCGTCTTCTTTCTCTTGCATTGTGTTTACTCAATGTTCGGCGCGTGCATCATACACGGTAGATTCGGCTTCTTCATCTTCTCCCTCCTGCGTTGTGTTGCAAAGGAATACTCATCTCAATGTTGATTTATTCTGTCTTCCTCTTCTTCTTCATCGTCTTCTTTCTCTTGCATTGTGTTTACTCAATGTTCGGCGCGTGCATCATACACGGTAGATTCGGCTTCTTCATCTTCTCCCTCCTGCGTTGTGTTGCAAAGGAATACTCATCTCAATGTTGATTTCTTCTTTCTTCCTCTTCTTCTTCTTCTTCTTCTTCTTCTTCTTCTTCTTCATCTTCTTCTTCTTCTTGCGTTGTCTTTACTCAGTTTTCGGAGCGTGCATAATACACGGTAGATTCGTGTTCTTGCGTGGTGTTGCAAAGGAATGCTCAGTTCTTGTGGTCCGGCACCAAATGTAGACCTGGTATCTCGTCGTTACTCTAACTCTTTGGTCAGTGATCGTAGCCAGTAATGATCGAAGAGGTTTTGTATATTATATATATATGATATAGACGTCTTTATTTGAATGTATATGTTGCAACGTACATGAGCGAGTTTGTTCGCCCAGTGGCACCCCCGAATCCCCGGCGCGGCCCCCGTTATATGCAGCCGCGCTTGTTGTCCGACCTCCCGACCTGTCCAGCTTTGCCGGGACTGGCTTTCACGCTCCCGGGCACGTCGGTGCGTTAGCTGCGGGTTATGATATTTCCTTTATTACTTCTCTTATTACCCCCATGCTGCGTCGAGCACACCGACTCTGATCGTCGTCTCCCCATATATTTTGCGCTGGCTTGTCGCCAACGCCACCCGTTTATTATCGCCTCTATCTAGCCGTAATTAATACACGCCGCTTATTACGACGTTACATCATCTCCCGTGCTTATGGCGCAATAACAATTCTCGTCGCCACAGTTTGACTTTTGCCGGCTGCCGTGTTCGGAGAAAGCCAGCGATTGTTTTTTATTGCGTGTTCTGCTCGCGCCACCATCAGCCAATGGACAACAAGCAAACGCGCAAAATCAATGTATTTTTGTTCAGCACAACGGCGCTGCGTTTTGCTGTGTCGTGTCGTGCCGCGTGTGTGGAGACATAGCTTTATCGCTCATGAGACACCTTACGCATGTTCATGTTTAAATTATACCAGTGATATTGATTCATTACTAGTCTATATTAAAATTAATTATGACAAAAGTAATTGTTACGTATGGTAAGTAAATTAGGCATAGTAGGTGATTTTTTTCATAATGGTTTTTAATAGTTATGTGAATTGTAATTGAGTCTTTTTAGGTCGAAAAAAATCGACTTCCGCGTAAGTCAAATCTTTTCCTCCAGTCTCGTTGGATTAGACGTAGGCGAGGTCGACTGTAGATGTGAATAATAGGGCTGAGGCAATGCGAGTTATTATGAGAAAAAATTCTACCTAATCAAAAGCGACTTTAAGCAGTTGGAACTATTTGTTTATGTTCATAAGTTACATGACAGTAACCGTTAAACCATTCTTAGTTGCTAAGAAGCACGAGATTGCGCTGGATCTCGCCTCTTCCGTAGAAGATTTTGCAGCCATAGTTGAAAGCTTTACTGATGTGCCAGTTCCTTCACAAACGCTAATTTTCAAAGGTATGTACATG